GAATTTCCTTAAATACAACTCATGTATCGTTTAGAGATAATTAGAGTTGAAGTGAAGGCAATGGGATAACTGTCTAAATATCCAAATCCAATGTGAAAGCCATGTCTCATAACTATATATAAACTTTACTTATAGTTAAAGAATGACAACAAACTGATTGGCTTTATACGGACTCAACTTAAAGAATATAAAAGGATTAAAAAACAATTAATCTGAATATAAAAGGCTTAAAATACATTTAAAAAATGATATTAAAATCTCATTATCATACAGTAGACACTATTGAATACAACTTCGGTAATGCTTTGCGAAAGTGTACTGTATATGACAACAAAAACTCATTGAATCTTAAATATCTCAAGTGTTGTGACAAAAGGAAAGAATTTTGAAAAATACTTTCTCTCGACTGACAGGTCTGTTCATATGTGGTGCACAAGAGATGTCATGAATTCGTGGCATTCAAGTGCCCGGGAGTTGATAAGGGAGTCGATTCAGACGACGCCCGAACCAAACATCACTTCATTGTACACACGTATACATCGCCCACATTTTGCGACCACTGCGGGTCACTTCTGTACGGACTCATACACCAGGGCTACAGATGTCGAGCGTGCGATATGAATGTGCACAAGAAATGTCAGGATTCTGTATGTTATGATAGCGAGTAATGACTGCGAGACTACTCACACTCCGGTGCTCTCATTCATAGGTTCCTAATCTGTGCGGATGTGATCACACGGAGAGGAGAGGAAGGATTGAACTGAAAGTCTATTCAAATCTAAACAAACTGTTCTGCGAAGTAAAACAGGCCAAGAATCTCATTCCTATGGACCCCAACGGGTTGTCCGACCCGTACGTCAAATGCAAACTAATCCCAGACAACGGAGAGAGTATGAAACGCAAGACGCGAACCATTAAAGCCAATCTGAACCCCACGTGGGCCGAGACACTCAGCTTTGATCTCAAACCCGACGATAAGGACCGGCGGTTATTAGTGGAGGTGTGGGATTGGGACAGAACTTCGAGGAATGACTTCATGGGTGCCCTTTCTTTCGGTATCTCTGAGATCATTAAAAAGGAGGCCAACGGTTGGTTCAAATTATTGACCCAAGAAGAGGGCGAGTACTACAACGTACCGGTGCCCGCGG